TATGCTGTTAAAACTGTACAAAAACATGTCTTCTGTGTATGTATTAAATAAATGTTCCTTATTAATTTAATTAATTAATTTAATTTTTGTCAACATTTAATTTTTATACTCTGTTCATAAAATGTACAAGAGTATATTAGGTTTGCGGAACTGAAAGTGTAACAGGCAGAAGGAGGCGTGGCAGACCCCACAAAGTATATATATTCTTGATCAGCATGACGAGAATAGTCGATCTAGCCCTGTCTGTCTGGCTGTATGAGCACAAGGATCTCAGAAGGTACAACAGCTAGAATGACCAAACTTGGTATCCAGGTTCCCCTGAGTTTGTTTTTTATAGCATGTACCCAAAAGTACAGACTGCCCGCAGCTGTTGTTGTTGTTGCTTCTTTGGTTAAACTTTGTGCTGCATACATACCCGCATACAAACACGCAGAGACACGATTCTGATGTAAATGTATGCTGTTGAAACTGTACATGATCAAGTCTCCACTTTTGTATATACATATGTGTTGAATAATTTATAATTAATTTGATTAAATAATTTAATTAATATAATTTTAAAATTAATTTGAATTTTCGTTTTTTCCTTTTTGGTGGGAGGTTCAGGGTAGTTAAGTGTTAAGCTCACTCGACTTTATCATTCATTTCTTGTTTATTTTACCGCACACACGGCCATTGCTGGTGTGCCCCAGGGTAGTGTCCTGGGTCTATTTCTATTTTCAATATTTACGGCTGATATTCCCTGCCCTGGATGACGAGCAGCCTGTAGTAGCTGAGGGCAAACCCCTAATAGTTGGCTCTGCTCTACTCATCGCCCTGTAGCTATGAAGCAGCGGATGAGCTGCAGCAATATCTACACAGTGTCCAGATTCTTCTCAGTCGGAGAAAGTACGAGTTTGAGTTTTTTTCGATGCACCCCCCAAGTTTCAATGCTAAAGTCGAGCGGGCTCAAATACCCTGTACCCCCCACAAAAAAGAAACAAATTTTAAAAAAACTTTTAAAATTATTTTAAACAAGATAGAACGCTACAGTCGAGCAAGCCCGACAGTAAAATAGCCTGTACTCTCCACAAAAAGAGAAAAATTAAAAAAAAAAAAAAATTTTAAAAAAAATTAAATTATTAAAAACATGAATGAATGAATTAATTAATTAAATTAAATGAGAATACATGTTTATGTTCAGTTTTAACAGCATACATTTACATCACGTACCTATGCGTGTTTATATGCGTGTATGTATGCAGCACAAAGTTGAACCAAACCAGCAACAACAACAACAGCTGCGGGCAGCGCTGCCGACAGAGGCAGCGCATGAGCAGCGATTTTACTTATGGCTATAACTTTCTTCAGAATTGACCTATCATGATGAAATTTGGCATACGGACACATTAGTACTAGCTGGATGTACCTACCAAAATTGATTTCAAAATTCCGAGAATTACGGAAGTTATAAGAAAAAACACGAATTGCGGGGGAGTGGGGGGGTGCATCGAAAAAAAAACTCAAACTCGTACTTTCTCGGTCTTAGGAGAATATGGAAACCAAGTTTGGTTATTCTAGCTCTTATACTTTCTGAGATCCTTGCGTTCATACGGACAGACGGACGGACGGACAAGGCTATATCGACTCAGCTTCTCATCCTGATCAAGAATATATATACTTTGTGGGGTCTGCCACGCCTCCTTCTGTATGTTACATACATGCGCACAAAACTAGTATAGCCTTTCACCCTTTGGGTACAGGCTATAAAAATTAAGTTAATGTAATTATTTACTAAATACATACTAAAACAAGATAGAACGCTACAGTCGAGCAAGCCCGACAGTAAAATAGCCTGTACTCTCCACAAAAAAGAAAAATTAAAAAAAAAAAATTTTTTTTTTAAATTAAATTATTAAAAAAAATTAATGAATTAATTAATTAAATTAAATTAGAATATATGTTTATGTTTAGTTTTAACAGCATACATTTACATCAAGTACCTATGCGTGTTTATATGCGTGTATGTATGCAGCACAAAGTTGAACCAAAGCAGCAACAACAACAGCTGCGGGCAGCGCTGCCGACAGAGGCAGCGCATGAGCAGCGATTTTACTTATGGCTATAACTTTCTTCAGAATTGACCTATCATGATGAAATTTGGCACACGGACACATTAGTACTAACTGGATGTACCTACCAAAATTGATTTCAAAATTCTGAGAATTACGGAAGTTATAAGAAAAAACACGAATTGCGGGGGAGTGGGGGGGTGCATCGAAAAAAACTCAAACTCGTACTTTCTCGGTCTTAGGAGAATATGGAAACCAAGTTTGGTTATTCTAGCTCTTATACTTTCTGAGATCCTTGCGTTCATACGGACAGACGGACAGACAGACGGACAGACGGACGGACGGACAAGGCTATATCGACTCGGCTTCTCATCCTGATCAAGAATATATATACTTTGTGGGGTCTGCCACGCCTCCTTCTGTGTGTTACATACATGCGCACAAAACTAGTATAGCCTTTCACCCTTTGGGTACAGGCTATAACAAGAGAGAACGCTACAGTCGAGCAAGCCCGACAGTGTAATACCCTGTACCCAGGTAAACTTCCGTCACTGAGTTATATGAGCCCATAGCAGCAGCAAAAAGAGGAAGAAGAAGAGCGAACTTCTCAAAAATAAAATAAACTCGTCCTTTTTCGGACCTAGGAGAATCTGGATACCAACTTTGGTTATTCCAGCTTTTATAGTTTCTGAGATCCTCGCGTTCATCCAGATGGACAGACGGACGGACATGTCTAGATCGATTTCTCTCGCCATGCTGATCAAAAATATATATACTTTATAGGGTCGGAGATGCTTCCTTCTGCATGTTACATACTTTGCACAAACCTAATATACCCTTTTTACTCTACGGGTACAGGGTATAACAAGAGAGAACGCTACAGTCGAGCAAGCCCGACAGTGTAATACCCTGTACCCAGGTAAACTTCCGTCACTGAGTTATATGCGCCCATAGCAGCAGCAAAAAGAGGAAGAAGAAGAGCGAACTTGTTGCTGCAGTTTGTGGGGGTTGTACTGTAGAGAATTTGCTTCGCTAATAACTTTTCTCAGAATTGACCGAATTGGATAAAATTTTAAACAACAGTAGACAATTATATATAAACTATGTGTGCAAAGTTTGGTTGAGGTAGCATTTGAAATGTGGACGCTATTGACGAAATTCTGTAGCGGGGGAAGGGGGGGAAAATTAAAAAAAAAAATTAAACTCGTCCTTACTCGGACCTAGGAGAATCTGGATGCCAACTTTGGTTATTCTAGCTTTTATAGTTTTTGAGATGCTCGCGTTCATCCAGACGGACGGACAGACGGACGGACAGACGGACGGACATGTCTAGATCGATTTCTCTCGTCATGCTGATTCAGAATATATATACTTTATGGGGTCGGAGATGCTTCCTTCTGCATGTTACATACTTTGCACAAACCTAATATACCCTTTTTACCCTACGGGTACAGGGTATAAAAAGGGATATAATTACCAAATTCAAAAATCTTAAAAATTACGGGAGTTTTGGAAAAAAAACACGAATTGTGGGGGAGTGGGGGGTTCATAAAAAAAAAAACTCGTACATTCTCGATCTTAGAAAAATCTGGATACCAAGTTTGGTTGTTCTATCTCTTCTACTTTCTGAGATCGTTGCGTTCATACAGACGGACGGACATGGCTATATCGACTCGGCTTGTCACCCTGATTAAGAATATATATACTTTTGGGGGTCTGCCACGCCTCTTTCTATCTGTTATATACAACCGCACAAAACTAATATAGCCTTTCACCTTTTGGGTACAGGGATATAAATATTCAGAACATACATACATACATAAATGGAGACATATTCCAGTTGGTAATTATGAGTCTGTATGCCAAGGTTCACAATGATAGGCCGATTTAACAGGAAGTTATCACTGCCTGCAGCTGTTGTTGTTGTTACTGCTTTGCACAGACACACACAAACACTCATAGACACGCATTATTATTCTGCGCATACATATGTACAGAATATTTCAAAATCGGGACACCACTTTAGCTTCTCTACTTGTTTTACTTTTGCTTTAGTTTTTTGTTATATTGCAAAAAATCAAGTTACTTTAATTTAAAAACACATTAAACAAGCTAAAACTTAAAAAAAAGATGTAAGTATCCTCTGAAGCGGTCAGTCCCCTTATATATATAGTATATAAATAATCGGCATGGTGTGTCAATATAGCCCTGTCAGCATGTCACTCAGTATGAACATTGAGTACTTTTGAGCTATAAGATCTGCGTATTCAGACTAATTTTTTCACAAGACATACTGATTGTTTCATTTATATAAATAGGTACCAAATGTCCCACTATAACATGCAGCATTCATCTTAAAGTCATTATATACAAATATTTAAGATCTTTACATTTTTAGAATTAAATAATGTTGAAACATTCTACAAAAGTAAGCCTGCAATGAATCCACACAAAGATTTGGCTATGAGTTATGAGAAATATTACTTCTCGTACTTAATTGGTTAGTCTAAAAAGCTGAATCCATCTAGCATCTAGATTGTCTGTCATCCGGAATAAGCCCTTTTTTGGAATGACCTGGAATAAAATGGATCAATAAGAATTGTTTGGTATTATGTCAAAAAGAATATTCTCACCAACTTTTAAATGTCGTGTAGCTGCAAAATAAATTAAAAAATTAAAAATTCAAAGTTTATTATTTATTGACTTTCTTTCTTTGCGTAGATATATTTAAACAAATTGATTTCCTTATGTTAAAGTTTGTATCAAAAGTCCCAGACAAACTCTCTTCAACATTTAAGGTATTTGAAACCAATTCAAATTCCTTTACTGAGTTCAGTACATAAAATTCAAAACAACATAAATAAATTTAAATTTGTTACATGTAATACATATTTCTTTCTTTGGAGAATTGATTTATTTCCAGGACTTTAATGAAAACATGCTTGATCATTCTTATTAAGCAATTTCAATACATATTTATTTATTTTTCTTCTTCTTGTTTAACCCTTTATTTATTCCAGCACATAGCGTCTCTGGAAGTGATGAAGGAATTTAAGGGTCGCTTGTTTATTTCTTTTTGGCATGCATATGAGATTTCTGTAATATAACTATTGTACTTATTTCTTTTCCGGGCATTTCGAAATTTTAAGGCGCCAGTACATAAATAAATAAATACATCTATAGTATAGGCTTACATAAATTGTTCTAGCTAACACTAAACATCTAACTTAAATTACAAACAGAATGTGTACATAATTACAAAGTGAGTTTCAGTTGATGGTGAGCTTTAGTTTGAAATTACATTTTTTAGTATTTGTGGTCATTGACCTTGAGTGGCTGTTTCTCTACCATCTCCTTACCCGGCTCCAGATACAGATCGCCAAGGTTTTTTTTACCAAAATTCTCACCATCCTCAATTGTCTCGAGCGTGGGCTTGTTGTGAGTCTCCGGCAGAAGTAGGGACAAAAAGCCGCCAGCTAATGCGAGAGCCCCGCAAATCCCCAGGGGCAAGGGTCGCCAAATCACGCTTAGCATTTCAAGCGATGGTGCCAGTGTGCCAGCAATGCGCGCCATCATTGACGAGGCGCCCATTCCCATGTTTCGCACCACAGTGGGAAACTGCTCAGAGGAAAACATGTAGACAGTGCCGTAGGAGGCAGTGATGGCCAACTTGCCTGTCATTGCGCATGTGATGAGCAGCCAGTTCATGTGCTCTGGCACGAAGGTAGTGAGCAACAGGGTGGCGCCAGCAGTCAACATACAGCCACACAGGATAGAGCGACGACCCCACCTGTTGAGCGTGAGCAATAGAAATATATATCCGGGTATCTCCACAGCACCCGAAATAAAGAAGTTCTGCAGCTGGTTCTCCCCCAAAATGCTAGTATTCCAGGACAGCCCGTAATAAATACCGCTTATGACGAACCAGTCGAAAAAGATGAGGAGCGTCTTATGGCGCAGATTCGGGTGGCGGAAAAGATCAAACACAGTAGCCGGCTTCGCCTTAACCTGTTTCTTCGTTGCATTGTCATTTTCATTGGCGCTGGCGTCCTCTTCCAACAGATCGCTGAGAGTCTCATTTGATATTTTGACGCCATTGAAATGTGCCGCTTTCTGGATGTTGTCGATGGCACACTGCGTCCGTCCTTTTGATACCAGCCAGCGTGTTGACTCGGGCACAATCCAATAATAAGATAGGAAGAACAGTCCCGGGAGCGTTAGAGCAATTTGCAAATTGCGCCAGTCATGTATGAAGTAGGCAAAGCCAACGATTAGCATGTAGCCCGCGGAGAAAAACATCATGACAAATATGCCAGCATAAACACGCTTTGCAGGACCCATCATTTCCATGGCTATTACGTAGGCCACCAGAAATACACCCTGCGTAGTCGCGCCCACAAACATGCGTGCCAGGGTGAAGCTAAAGTATTCAGGAGCGAGGCCTGCCAGCACGCCAAATGTTACCTGAATAACTAGGGAGGCGAAGAAGATGGGCTTGCGTCCAAACTTGTCACTCAAATGTCCAAAAGTAATGCTCCCAAGCAAAACGCCCACCATGAAGGCGCTATTGCTCATCCACGCCAACGATTTACGTCCACAGACCAGGTTTAATTCACTCACGGCACTGCTCTCGTATTTCGAGTGATCATAGATGTAACGACTGCAGCTCCTCGTGCCGTTCGTCGTCCACGGCTGACTGCCATTCAAATAAGCCTCGCTATAGTTCGCATTGTAATACTCGCAAGCCTGTCCCTTCTTTTGCTCAGAGGGATACGACAGATTCCACAGCTCTGGCGATAGGTCGTAGTCGCTGCTATTCGATGGTTCAAAAGGCAAAGCGCAGCGGTAATTTAACTTGGCTAGCAGAAAAACGCCGGCCATTTTATGTAAGGCAACTTGTACGGCAGTGAGGCAAATAAGAAAGTATATGACCTTCTGATATCGTCCAAAGTCACCCAACAGCACTATTACATCGTCGTAACCCATGGCTTAACATATAGTTTTCTAGATGCAACCTCAGGATATTTAGTTCTCAGTTCTCAACGTCTTTATGCTTCAACGACTATTGCGCGTATGACTCCGGAAAGTTGCGAGCACGTTGATTTATGTGTTTTGACGAGCCGGCCTCTGATTCACGGCCGACCGACCAAGCAAGCTGCGCTTTATTTCGGCTTTGCCTGTCTTTTTCACCTCTCTCCAATCGGACGACGCTGGCTGCGGCTACTATGACGACGGTGACGTGTACTTTGGCCCGACAACAACAACAACATGAAAATCGGATGATGACAAACACAAAAAGCACATGGAGAGGCCGAAACACCGGCGAGACCGGCATTTATTTTCGTTGCTGCTCTTTCGATGAATTCGTAGAAATAATTGCTAATGTGAGTGAGCCAAAACCAAATGGAAGATACCAAAACATGTAGAGGGGAGTGCGAAAATATGGACAACTTTTTAGCGATAGCACGATGACCGAACATTCGCCACCCTCGGCAAACAAACACAACTGAACTGTTCACTCAAAGCCAACCTGCCAGCGCTTTGTTTCGGGTGTTCACATTCATCAAAGGTACACACACATACATACATACATCCATACTTATGTTCATACACTTGTACGAATAACATAATATACATATGTACATACATACATATGCTGTCGTGCATGCGCATTCTCTCGACACACTCAAAGTTGTTATTGCACTCTCACAGCAGCGGTCGTGGAACACAGAAGGTTGGACATTTTGGCATTGCGCAAGTCTCTTCATGTGACGTCACATGATATTTGCATGATGTCTATATTGTGACTTCTTTTAAGACTGTCCCTTTTTGGTGTAAGCCGAGTGCGCCATTGCGAATATTACTTGATTTAGATATAGACATATGTATATGTACATTTGAAACACAAATATCGAAGGCCAGCCACAGGCGGAAGGACATGTGTAGAGCTCGTTCATTTATCGCACGCTCGCTATATCGGACTTGCCTTACACGCAGTGGACTATATAATGATGTACTTGAACAGTAAGAGTACAGAATTTAATGCCATACCTGCTCGCTTTTTACCAACGACTCAGTTAGTTAGTTCGGCACAATGGTACTCGTTTCTTTTGAGTGACTTACTTCTTGGCTCGTTCTCTCCAATAACAATGCGAGAGTTGCAACAACAACCCCTAAACGGCAAAGAGCGTCCGCATTTCAATTGAAACGGGCGTAGGAATGGCTCTATTCTTGCCAACGCCGACCCAATTTGCGCTACAAAAATTGACAGCTCTAATTGGATACCCATAGTTATCTAACGCAGACAGACAGATTTTTGAATTAGGAATATCTTCAACAAAATATCATTGTCATCAACCAGGCGGAAACAGATGGAAACAAAATACACCTAAGGCTCAAACTTATTTACATTTGCAAGTCGTATTATTATTGGATTGGAGTAGCAATCATTCCTGTCCGCCCAGTGAGTTAAGATATTTTGGGTATTGAATCTAAATATAAATAAATACATACATATGTACTATTTATCCACATCAATTGAGACTTGTCGAATTCAATCAAAAACAAATAAACGACGAGTGGAGAGCGAATCGTACGATCGCCGATCCTCAATTAGTCTCAATTAGAAAGCGCACCACATATGTAGTTATTAAAAACTGACGGGTCTGATTCAAGAACAAAATATCGTGCGATGCATTGTGCAAGAAAATAACAACAGGTTATGGAGGCGGTTGGTTCCAGAATTCGTTGAAACTGCAATCAAATCTTTTATTGATTCTTTCTACGCCATACAGGGCCATCTAAATGGTTGCTCTATATTGTTCACCCATTTCGTTGCAACTGCAATTGAAGCGAATAAAGAGCAAATTAGTATCAACTTGAAAATGAATGATATAGCCACCTGGCTCACCCCATTTGGACCCGAATATCACGGGGCAGCCGCCATGCTCAGCTCTTGGATCAACATTCAATTTCTTGTCCATGTTATGCCAATAAATGGCGCTTCCTTTTTTTGGAACAACTGTCAAATTTAGGTAGGTAAATACAGTTGAACCTCCCCGCGGCACATTATTGAGCTGAATTAAATATATTTATAATAAAGTATGTAAATAAGTAACGGTCAGTGGAACACTCACATAGAAAAGGACGGTAGCAATGCGATTATTGTTGAAAGCGTCCTGCAAGTTAAGTTAAAGTCCCACTTATAAGAAGGGTATACAACCATTTACTTACTTCTCCGTCAAAGTAATCTTTATGCGGTCCATAGCAACCACCAAGTCCATAATTAAGCACGTACAGCAGATCCCTACCCTTCATCGAAAGGCCTGTCATATCGGTAATGCGCTGCATAATCCTTGCGGTATATATTCCCGCATCGTGCGTTAGGAACGCTCCTTTTGATACACGATCTGAGAGCGGAGCCTTCGAAGTTACAATAGTTTCACTAGCTTCTAGATTGGGCATCGATAGCTCTTTTATCTCTTCAATTTCGCTTTCATATATTACATCATGATAAACTGCCACATACGGATCCAGGTACAGTGGCTCAACTTTAAAGGGTGCCAGCCATAAAAATGATTCCTCAATTGATGTTCCATAGTAGTAATGACAATGCAGTTCGGGTACATGGACAAGCTCACCCCGACACAAGCTTCTAAACGTTTCAAAATTGAAATCATATTTCTTAGCTGTTGAATTTTTTCGTACAAATATTTGAGACTTTACGTGCTGCCACTGCCTATATAGACCAATATCGTGTGGAGCCATGCTCAAGGCCTTTCCTAGAGCACTCCAAGCGTCTGCGTTTCTGTCTACAAAAATGAATTATCTTGAAGGGGTTTGGAATAAAAATTGATGTTCGTTGCCACACTTATTTGCAATAGACTTGCTGCATAGGCCTGCCAGCATCGTGTTCGACCAAAACCGAGTAGTTCGGGCCACGGCGTGTAGGGGCTTGTGACAGTACCAAGCCGAAACCACTGCGAAGCGATTTCGTAGTATTCGTTGCTATTGGCATATTGGCCCAAAGCATAGCAGTCCACGGCAGTGAATGTTGCGCTATGTTTTAAATTGGATTAATCAGATTAACTGTGCAGATTTGTTTAGCCGGAGCTCTCACTCGTATTGTTTGCCAAAGAGCAGACCATTAGCAACATCTTGAGGTCTTAGTTTATAGGTGTCTACAATTCGTAATATGGACTCTGCTCCATCTGCAAGGTCTTTCTTTGTGGGGCAATAGCGTCGATAATGTTGTAGATCTTCCCGAATGGCTGTATGGAAAATGAAAATATTTGTATGACATTAAGTATTAGGAAACTTCTAGAGCACACAACGGGACATGTACCTTCTATTTCCAGGTTTTTCATAAAAGTAAGCCACTGGGGCCAGTCCATAGTTAAATGTCGTAGCATGGCATATCTAATGAAAGGCGAAAATTCTGAAATTGCGTTTTGCTCATGCATATTTAGCTGTGCTTTCATATGTTCTAGCGCACTGGGAAAGAAACAATATTCAAGAATCTTTATTAATTTGCTATTCATACCTATTTTTCCCCAAACTAAAACTGCATTCCATTTGTGTCAAAAGAATTAAATCTGTTTAATAGTATTACCGTGAACTACCATCCATATGAGAAACAATATACCTACGAGTATGTATTTCGAATTCTCACAAATAACTTTCAGACCCCAAAAACTCGTTCATCCTGCTTCTGGAGCGGGTAGACGATCAATAATTCTATTATTGAGTTCCAAGCGGAACTATGAATATACATATGACGCCCGTCTGCCGTCATACTTACGTCATATGGCCTTTTAAGCAACTTGAACAACATATTTTTTTAACGATTTACATTATTCTCTTAATGGACAAATAAATAGGTTATTTGCATAAGATGTAAGGGTATGAAATTGTAAGAATGGACACTTACCCATACACCATAGTCAATTTATTTTGCAGCTCCCACATGTATTTTTGTAAAAACAAAAGCAACAATGCTTTTAACTTTAACATATAAACTAACTCGGCAATAGATCCGGCATGCGATTGTTCAGGCTCGCGTTTGCTGGTCAATTTTTGGCTGTCCGACCCATGAAGTGCTACCAAAATTAAACTAATGGTTAATACTAGCATAATGCGTTGCATTTTCCGCAGTAAGATTTTTAACTTTATAACTTCAAAAACGTCACCCACTAAATGTAATGAAATACCAAAAAATAAATAAATGTCGCATTTCTGTAGCAAATTGATTTTAAGCGTTCTTCTTCCCTTCATCTGAAGGGTACAATGGTCTTGCAAAATGCTAGAGTACAGTAGGCTGAACTCTTAAATACCCTGTACCCACGTCCGTCCGTCTGATCTCAGAAACTATAAAAGCTAGAATAATGGTATCCCGATTCTCCCAGGTCCGAGAAAGGACGAGTTTATTTTATTTTTTGGAATTCCCCCCTTCCGTCGAGCTATGTATTTTTGATTTTATTAATTGTATTTCATTAGTTTACTTTTAAAACAAGAGAGAACGCTACAGTCGAGCAAGCCCGCCAATGAAATACGGAGATGCTTCCTTCTGTCTGTTACAAGGTGCGTTCCAAAGTAGACAGAACTTTTTGAATCTTGCGCCCCCTGGTGACGCTATCTATATGTCGACTGGTGCGTTCGAATCTGCTATCTTTATCGATTGTCCAGTGAGAATTTCATGACATTTCATCGATTTGAAGTGAAGTTATTGCGTTTTAAGTGTCAGTATGTTTGTGTTATCGGTGTGAAAATGAGCTTCGAACAAAGAGCTAGGGATGTAAAAAAACATCGATGTATCGAGCATCGACGATGTTTTTACAACGATGCATCGATGTTTTCCGATGTTTTTTTGCTTGCGATGCATCGTCGATGCATCGATGTTTGCCCAAACATCGAACATTTTTCAAGTTCTGTTGGGCGGTCACATTTATTTGTGTGGTCTACCGGTGTAGGTATTTTTGTATTTTAATTTTGTTCTTGTTTTAATTAAAATGTGTATTTAATTATATATTTTATAAATTGTTAAGCATTTAATCTACATTTTGTAATATATAAAATGCCAAAGTAAGTTTTTCTATACATTTTTAAATGTAAAAAGTGTGCGTATAGCCACATGACTAAAATGTCTAACTGCATATGCACATATATACATACATATGTATGTCAAAGATTTAATTGGAATTTAAATTTTTTAGAATCCCATCTAAGGCAAGTTTCTGTTGGTCATTTTTCAAAAAAATTGACTCTACGACTGCAAAATGTAATTTATGCTCCAGAATTTTTAAAACTGCTGGAAACACGACAAATATGCAGGGGCATTTGCGAAATATACATCAAATAACCCCAGAACAACAAAATGCTTCAAAAGTAAACAATACCTCACAACCTTTGAACACAATTATTTTAAAGGACAACAGCAACGTTCCGGCCAGATCCAATGTAATTCCATTAATTCGTCAACCGTCCATACAAGAAAGTTTCTATGCTATTAACGACTTTGCGCCTGAAGGACAAAAAACAAAAAGAATTAATGAGGCTTTAACATTTTTAATAGCGAAAGACCTACAGCCCTTCTCCATTGTGGAAAACGAAGGGTTTACAAATTTGATGGCTACTGTGGCACCACAGTATAAAATGCCTTCCAGGTATAAAGTTACTGCCTGGGTAGACGAAAAATATAATAGTATGAAAACACTGTGGAAGCATAGAATTTCAGGAAAAAATGTAACGTTAACAACAGACATATGGAGCGATAGTAAGTCTATGCGGAGCTTTTTGGGTATTACGGCCCATTTTGAAATAGAGCTTGAATTATCATCATTGAACCTGGGAGTTTTGGAGCTAAGCGAACGTCACACTGGGGAATATTTAAGCAAAACTCTTTTAAAATTTTGCGAGGATTGGGATATTCCACAAGATAATATAACGGCAGTTGTGACCGATAATGGCAGCAATGTTGTTAAGGCTGTGGAACTCGCATTTGGTAAACAAAAACATATTCCGTGCTTTGCCCACACAATTAATTTAATTGCCAGATCTGTGTTTCGCATAGACAAAATCGACACAGTCGTTGGCAAGGTAAAAGGCATAACAACATTTTTTAAGCAAAGCTGTGTTGCCAGCGATGAGCTCCGCAAACGAACAGAAAAAAGACTAATTCAAGATGTTGTTACCCGATGGAACAGCACTTTCTATATGATCGAGCGATTTTTAGAGGTCGTAAACCATATTAATGATGTGCTGGTTACTATACGTACTGATCTGCAAATGGTGACTGGAATAGATCTCGATTTACTGTCAAATTTGCTGTTAATACTACGCCCTCTCGAAGAAGCAACCAGAGAACTGAGTGACCAAAAATATTGCACAGCTGGAATGATAATTCTAGTCATTAACATTTTAATTACAAAATTGTCAGGCCTAGGCTTAAGTTCTGCAGAGGATTGCAAAGATTTAATTTTGTTGGAGATTGATAGACGGATGGGTGCAGTTGAGAAGGTATATTGAATGAAATATTATTTATTGAAAATTAATAATTATGTATCATTTAAGGTTCCACTTTTGGCTGCGGCTACCATTTTGGACCCACGTTTTAAAAAGATCCATTTTAGGGATCCTTTATATTGCGCAAATGCATGCTTAACAAGATAGAACGCTACAGTCGAGCAAGCCCGACAGTAAAATAGCCTGTACTCTCCACAAAAAAGAAAAATTAAAAAAAAAAAATTAAAAAAAAAAAAATTAAAAAAAAAATTAAATTATTAAAAAAAATGAATGAATGAATTAATTAATTAAATTAAATGAGAATACATGTTTATGTTCAGTTTTAACAGCATACATTTACATCACGTAGCTATGCGTGTTTATATGCGTGTATGTATGCAGCACAAAGTTGAACCAAAGCAGCAACAACAACAACATTTTACTTATGGCTATAACTTTCTACAGAATTGACCTATCATGATGAAATTTGGCATACGGACACATTAGTACTAACTGGATGTACCTACCAAAATTGATTTCAAAATTCCGAGAATTACGGAAGTTATAAGAAAAAACACGAATTGCGGGGGAGTGGGGGGGGGGGGGGTGCATCGAAAAAAAACTCAAACTCGTACTTTCTCGGCCTTAGGAGAATATGGAAACCAAGTTTGGTTATTCTAGCTCTTATACTTTCTGAGATCCTTGCGTTCATACGGACAGACGGACAGACAGACGGACAGACGGACGGACGGACAAGGCTATATCGACTCGGCTTCTCATCCTGATCAATAATATATATACTTTGTGGGGTCTGCCACGCCTCCTTCTGTGTGTTACATACATGCGCACAAAACTAGTATAGCCTTTCACCCTTTGGGTACAGGCTATAAAAATTAAAACCAAGATGCAACCAATAAGCGAAGTCTCTATCGCTGCAACAACACTGACACCAACAGCAGATTCATTTTGGGATCACCACCACTATCTTGCAGAAACATTTAAACCTAACGAAGATGTGGAAGAGGAGATGAATGCATATCTTAGAATTCCCATAGCCAAAATTAACACGAATCCAATAAAGCTATGGGAAGGAATGCGAAGTCATACCCCCACCTTTATAAAGTGGCCATTCCATTTTTGACCATGGTTGGAACATCAGTTCCTGCAGAACGGCTATTTTCTGAAACGGCTTTAACGCTAAATCAGCAGAGAAACCGACTAGACCCTGAAAGACTCAACAGGCTCATATTTTTACATAGCATAGAAAAAAAGTTTTGGAATTAATTTCTTTATATATACTTGTATACATATATATGTATTTGTTATAAATAAATATGTATGAAGTGCTACGAAAGCATCGTATTGATTTGCTTTAAAAACTATTTAATACGTTTATTTTATTAATTAATTAACTTATAACATTGAATAAAACATTATGAAAGTTTATTAATTTAAAAACATTTTGATTTAAAACATCTCTGTTGATTTTTCCCCATAATATGAACCACTTTTTCTCTGAAAAATTATTTTTTTAAAACATCGATGCATCGATGTTTCTTGCGATGCATCGACCATGCATCGATTTTTTATGAAGAAACATCGATGTACATCAACATCGATGTTTTCCCTTCGATTTACATCCCTACAAAGAGCCAACATTATATTTTGTTTTAAAATTGGTAAAACTTTTACCGCAACATTTCAATTGATGGAACAAGTTTATGGCGATGATTGCCAAAAATTCCATCGAAACTGAGCGTGAATTCATCAAAAATCAGCCGAAATCATCATTGAAATTGATGGGAATGGAATTGAACATCTCCAAAACATCGATTTATCGCATTTTGTTCCGCACAAATTGACTGACAACCAAATATTGCTCAGAGGATTGACGCTTGTGATCGATTATTTGACCAAAAATCACATTGTAACCATTAACCACTCGCCGTATTCACCTGATATGGCACCGTGCGACTTCTTTTGGATCGTACAAAAAGCTGTATTGAAGCAGATGGAGACTATTTTGAATAAAATAAATTGATTTTGCCGAAAAAACCATTTGTTCTGTTTTTTTTTTTTTTTTTTTAGTCCTGTTTACATTGGAACAGACCTTGCATATACTTGCACAAACGCAACATACTCTTTTTATCCGTACCTGTAGGGTAGATGGTATAAAAACGATGAGCTCTTATTTTCATAAAATTCAAAGCAAAAATTTCCCGCATTGGTTCGCATGCTTGCAAAAGAAATAAGATATAGAACTGTTATTATCGATAAGCTTCAACAAAATACTTTCTACGATACACATTTCGAAGTGTGACCATAGCATCAAAATTTGATTGCCACAAATAATTTTTTAGTTTTTAAGTAAATTATTGTCAGTTAGTTTGTGAAACTACCTTCCAAAATGAACAAAAGGTTTTAATTTTATGCTTAAATTTACGCTTTGGAATTACATAAACAACATTAACATAAGGAACATAAACATGGTATATCAAATACTGAAAATAAGAGTAATTCACCCACCTGTATCAAAATATGAACGGTATAATACTAGTTCGATCATTAGTATATGGTGCACTTGAAAAATATCGATATCATGTCTTCAACTTCGATATATTCGTTTGCGCAGCACTATCACAGCTGTTGCGCGGGCAGTCGAAAAAGAAACTTGAAACGTGTCGGTTGTGGAGCGCACGTATGCGGAGCTTTTTTGCACCACTAATAATTAACCAGTGTGCGCTTAAAAAATAGCTAAAACCAATATGCTAAGATTATTTTTCATATAACGGAATTACAAATGTGTAAAAACGTTCAGCTGAAATACGTCAATTTGTTATATTTTCGGCAAATACGAGTCTCGTAAAAATTGGAACTAAAATTCGGAAGGCTTTACTCTTCGTAGTTTCGCGTATTTTGGTCACAAACAAAACTCGCGTGTGCGGCCGCCGAACGCGCTCTCCTTGCTTCCCGCGCACAGCAGTGTTTTGTGTTTGCAATATCGTTGTTGTCGTCCATAGCTTCAATGCATGACGAATCAGAGCAACCAAACTTCCATCTCCAGAGAACGCGTCGAGAATTGACCCTGAAATCGAAGCAGACTTACAGTAGCAGCAGACCCATCAACAGCACTCTCTCTATAAGTCGCTCATCGTAAGCGGCCTACAACTCCGATAAATAGTTAAGTCGTCGGCGCAGCAACTTCTACTACGGCGCACAGACGAAGGCAAAAACAACAGGTAAGCCACAGCCGCAGATCTGGTCCTTATTACAGGTCTTTAGATTGGATGAGTCATCCATTTGACTGGCTTATTTGTTTAGTTGGTCGATATAGCTCTGGTTCTGGGGGCTTGCAGACTTATCAACTAAACGTAATGCCTAAATAACCCCACTTAATAGGTTGGGGACTGTATTGAGTGCGGGGCGATTGAAGCCCTTATAGTGCAGGCGTCACTTTTAATTCGCTTCAATGGCAGGCAAACTAAAAAAACATCGATCAATGAAAGCTGAAATATATAAATGTACTCGTATATGTGTATATATGTATGTATAAATATTAACGCGATTTATTTAATGTTCATCCACCCTCAACTTAAACTAAACGAATTCAGCCACCAGCGGTGACAAATCTTCCCAACTGCTCTTTGGAGCTGCTCTTCTCTAGCACACCCGCGCATACATACATACACGTACATACATATGTACATATCCACTTCGATATGCGGCGCTAGGGATGCGAGTTGCATTTCACGGAAGGCTGCCTCACTCTGTGTGGTGCATTTCTCACTTGCCTCTGCTCTTTGCAAGGGACAACAATAATAATAACTCTGCGATGATCGATTTGTGCTCGTCCGCTTTCGGCGGCGCACAAAACCAGTCATGGCCATTTTAATTGAGTACGGAAATGGAAAAACAGTTTGTTTGTATTACATACTTACATACATACATGTGTACATATGTACATATGTATATGTAGATAGAATATACATATATGTATGCATGTAGATATAGTTTTCTTTAAGCGAAAGGGGGATGAACACAAGTCGTTGAAGTCCAGTCGCGACCATTTATGCATGCTAGCCACATGTGCATGTGTTTCCTTTATTTCAATTCTATTTATGCCACTGCGAACGCCGGCAGGCGGCGTCGCCTTGGCGCATGCGAAGAAGAAGAGCAGAGTAAATAAAATTCAAGAACGTGCTTGTCGCATCCGTGCGTTGTTAAAGCCAATTAACGGCCTTACAATGCTGCGCAAATACATTTTGCTTATCTGACTTTAAATGTCGCTGTGCATGTTTTTGTTTTCGTCCCTGACCGTCACTCATGCGCCGCGTGCTTTTTGTTGTTGCTGCGCACCCTTCCTACGCACGCCTCCCACCCTCATTTGGTCGTGCCACAGACGGCGCATCGTGCCAAAAACGAGTCTCAACTGAGAAGGCGAAGGCCCTTTCTGCCACACGCCATAGCTGACACGGAGTCCATGTTTGGTTTCCTTTGCCTAGTGCGGCCTGACAGCTGCTCTCGATCCAGGGAGTACTGGATGAACACGAATACATACATACATGCATACATATGTACACACATTTATGCAGATCCACACGACAAAGCGAAGCGATGTCAGTTCCGTACTAGGAAGATTCTCAGACTAATTGCAAATAAAACTTCCCCGCACGACTCTTTAGGAGTTTTTGCAAATAAAACTGCTCCTTCACACTTGAGTTTTGGAAAATAGGTGTACTTTTAAATTTAAGTTGATTTTTGTATTTTGATGTGTGTATTTTTATTTCTTAGGAGCCAATAATGACTGGTTCCACTATAACGTATAAATGCACGAAATCAGACAAATATTTTAAGTATAATGTGCATACATATACACATGCAAACTTATTTAGAAGATAATCGCGAGGCTCATGTTTTACGCCTAACATCAAATGAGAAATTTTGGAAGCATATAATTTAGCTTTTCCTACGTAGAAGATAACACGACCTCTTTTAGAGGGCCTCTGAAAAATTAGCATATAATAAAAGCGACACAGCAACTAACCTAGAGAAAGTCGTTTAATTGCTGCTTTTGTTTTCTAGACAATTAACATAATTTTTGTTTTGGTTTACTACTTTTCGTTATGTGGATACAATGAGAAAAAATAGTAATAAATTTACATGATTTTTTTCTATGAAACACTATCTTCAAAAACGCGAATGGCCAGTGTTACTTTGCTCGCTTCCTGTTCAAAACTCTGAATTAAAAATTTGGATTATATCACAAGTTGTCTACAGCAGCACCAAAAACCAAAATGTTGCGCAATTCTGAAAAAGCCATGGGTGAGTTGAAGCTTCGATGTACACATGTACATACATATGTAGTAGATTGTTAACTGCATTATGGAGTGTAGAGCTTCTTCTCGAATAGACTCGCCAGTGTACCGCTATTTGTTTTAATTATATAAGTATCAATTTTCAATTACTTTCCTTCAAAGCAATTTCATTATTTATAATTTCACCACTTGGTAGAGAAATCAACGTTAATATCTTTGTATCACGTTCATTTATGGCCTATTACAATCACATCTTTGTCATTTTCGAATTGTTAGTTTGTGCAACTAAGACGTTGTAGTGCTGCATTTTATTTAATTCGTAAAAGCTTTATGAAGAAAAACGTTTCGCTTTAACAAGTGTGCTCACGAATGATCGAATTAAAGCCCCTTAGACATGTCTACCCCCCTGAAATATACATATTTATCTGATATGTTCGACCGATTGCATTACATATAGTATTTAGCACAGTAGGATCCGCGATTCTTTCCACCCCCATTAATATGTATCATAGTTTATAATATATGGTTACTAAGCTTAACCTAAGCCTAACTCTCCAACCAATAAGACATTCCTGGCGCTTGTATATAAGTATATTGGTAGGGCCGGGATTCCGTAAATATATGCCACTTAGCAGGGCAGATAATGTATACAGAACCCTAACTTGCAGCTGGTTCGAGAACCAAAAAAAAAGATCTTACATATCAAGTAAGGCTTCTACAAATACCCTTGTGCCCTTGTTATAGGCGTAGTCCGATCGACTAGCTTAGTTCTCTGTATAAAAAAAGTGAATCAAAAATGTGCAATATACATAGTTTGTATGTGAAATGTTTGTATTTTTTAAAAACGAGCAACAAAACAGCCGCCTCAACTCGCAGCCACAACACAAGGATACATAAAAAAACACATAAATTTTAACCACATCAGAGGATGAGCCAAAAATAAAAACTGAACTCGGTGCACCAATCGCCCAAAATCTAGCAAAATCTACCAGTTCTTCCTGGGAATGAGACGGATTACATATATAGACTTAGCTTCCCTGTTATTTGACCTGCCGTATTCTCTTCTCATTTATTTTTAACAATTGCTTAAATATAATGCAATATAATATTTCCGACTGGCTGTGTTTTTCTCATTATATTATTCACGAGATAATACTTATAATACTTATAAAAGAGTCAAATTCATATCTTTGAGCACATGGGCTATTATTGGCCAAAACTACACACTACCATGTTCATTTGTACGCGCTTTGGCTTACAGTAGACTCAGAAATCGGCCGCTACCCACAAATATATCATGCTATGACAAACAAATAATTGCTATGAGATAAGATTAAGCTGCCAAATGATAAAAACGTTATGGTTCGCAGTGGGTGTTCAAGAAGTGCTAAAATTCAGGCTACTCGGCTATGGGATACTCTGCACCTTAATTCAGACAGTCGATTTTACATACATGCATATTCAGTGCTTATTGAGTTAAGCAAATTATTTAAAAAAAGAGCTCCCCTAAATTACTAGATGCAATATTTATTATAAACTATGTAGAAAAGTGTGAAACTTAGTGTTGTGTCTCCAGCTCTAATAGTTTCTGAAATCAAGGAGATAATACAGTCGACCGAATGGTTGTCAACCCAAAAGTTACACAGCCTTGCACACTAAATGTGTGAAGCGTGCTCTTAAATGTGCACATTAATAATAATATGTACTATAAGTTATATATAAGTACGCTCGCAACAACGGGATTAACAAACTCAAAACAAAAATGGCCAAGTGCACTTGGAAATTAAAATTTAAGACGCGCTGACGGCGGGACGTTGCTCGTTTTTCACACGCGGAGGAAATGAGGTGGCCAGTTTTACGACGTTGACGAAACATATGTATGGAAAATCGACAGCGCACATATGGGGGAGCTGCGCTATGGGTCGCCCAAATCCGTCAGCGTTCGAGGGGGTCGTAGTCTTTGTTGTTGCTGTCGATCCGACACATTTCCATTTGCATTTTAATTGAGGCAGGCGGTAGATCTATAAATTGGATTTCAGCTTCTTTTTGCTTTCGGTTTTGCGCGTCAAAAGAAAACTGATTTTGAGGAGGAAATGAGTAGCGCCAAAAGTTTTTCCGATTGCCGCTGTTGCGTTGCTTTTCCTGTTTGTTGTTTACGCTCAGCGTCTGCATTAATTGGTTCCACTTGCTCGGCGTTTGACTATCGACAGTGTTGGCTGCAGAAATATCTGTTATTTTTCTTACTTACACGTCCACCGACAACCTCAACAACAACAATCAGTTCTTCACCAAGTCGTTGAACTCGCCTAACATCAAAAAGTAACAAGAGAGAACGAGTGGTGAGGAGGCGGCGGTGTGGAAGTCATTTTAATTGTGAATTAAATCGGGTGGCAGTCCAATACAAAATGTTCTGTTATATAGTACTTACTCATAGCAAGCTGCACTTCCACTGACCCAAAAAACCCACAGAGTAACTAAAACCAAACTGAACGGTGCGCCGCTTTAAACTCGTTTTATTTTGACTTTTGCGCATGCGCAACGCTTTGCTTGCTGCTTTACGGTACAGTGACCTTTCCCCCCTTTCCGTAAGTGGCCGTCGCTCGTGCTGTGTAATGTGTGTGTTCATGTTCCTGTGACGTTTGGGCCATAAATCCAACAGCTGCAAACGAAACAGCGAAACAGAGCAGCGGCTATTGTTGGAAGTGTAATTGTTTTTGGGGCGCACGTTGTGCTCCGCAGCTATCTAATACAGATAAGTTTTCAATGCTGTCTCGCCGATCCAACAACCACCTTTTTAGTCCCAATACATGACTCATCACGGCAGTCGCTGACAGCGCACTCTTTAACTCTTAGCTTTTCGTATTATATGTACATATCTGTATCTGCATTTCATTTTATTTGTTGCCACAAAAGGCCAGCTGCATTTCTGTATCAGCGTTTACGGTCAGCGCCAAGTGCCATCGCCAGAGAACAAGTTCAACTGGTTGCTGCCACTTGCCGCAGCGCGTAGAAAATCTGTGCAACTGGCAGCTGCCCCAACCGCAACTAAAACCACAAGAGCGAACGCGAACCCATACGGCCCCCGCGCAGTGCGCGAATCGAACCTGTCGCTAGTCACAGCTTATGCACCGTAAGCGTCCCTGAGCCTGTGCTGGCCGACTGGTTGAACTTGATATCGAAGCGCGCGGTCATTGGTCGCCTTTAACACTAAGCAACAAGTATCTCCATCCCGAAACAGCATCACACTTTGCATCCTTTGGCAGTGACTCATGTCAGGAAGCCTCCTAACGAACCTTCATTTAACTAATAATAGATAAAGGGGAAATATCCTGTGCCCATGCGTTGCGATTTATGCGCTAAGCAGAAGGAAAGAGAAGAACCTAACAAAGTCGCAAATACTGACTGTTTTGCTGTCTAATAAAATTTGGCGAAGAGTATTTAGAGACGGGACATCAAAATATAATTTCTCACAGTTCAGTTTGTTTTTATTTTAGCGATAATTTTGATAAGCTTCCAAGTCTGATAAGCACATTATTGTAAATTCAGGTCCGTGCCAGCATAATTTGCATCTTAAGATATAAAAATTTTTGTGGTTGAATTAGAAATATTCTTCGATCCATTACCAACATAGAATGTTCAACTTAAGGAGAATAAAATATTCTCCAAATAACTAGAAAATGGGGAAGAATGCGGTTACCAAGAACGCGCTATTGTTACTGCCATTGTCGACCATGGCTTGGTGTCTAGAAACGGGTTTGCTTTTTAGCATTTATATGGCACTATCTTTTGCTGAGTCTGTTTTATTCTTTCGACACACTGCAGACGAATATAGCTTCAATAAACGTTGCCAACGACAAAATGTAGAAGGGCCACCGCTAATTCTACGAGTATAAAGTTTTAAGAACCTACTGTAGAAGCTGACGGCTCTTTGGCTGTTTCTGTACTCGTTGTTGCTTCTTTTTGCTTCGTGGCCACGAAAAGTGTCGCAATTATTGCACAACTCTTGTTTGTGGCTGTCACGACAATTTGGAATTGTTTTTTCAACAATGGCTCGTCGTTTCTTGCGGCGGGCCGCGGAGCTGGGGGGTAACGAATGGCAGAAAAGCTTGCTAGCTAGCTGATTATGAAATTTGAGCGATTTTTGTGTGTAATTTTCTTTTGTACCCGTATATACTGGGAAGTGTAACGCCTGAAACGTCAAGGAAAACAACGGGGCACCAACAAGCAAACGCTGAGATCCCACACAGAACGAGTGAATATGAAAACAGGAAAACAGAAGCAAACGTAAGACATCTATTATTATTGAAAATCAATAGAATGTTCAGAATGTGCTCATAATCCCATTGGTACCAGTGGAAAGGGTTGCTTTGATTTAATCCGTCCCCACCACCGACAGCTGCGCCTTTATTCATTACCTCAAAGTGACAGTTAAACAGCGTAGTTAGAAGCAACATTTTTTCAATGGTTTCTTATCCTCTATTGACACACTTTTCGATTTAACTAAAGTTACTACCCTGATGAACTTAGTAAACTCTTTTGTAAGGTGATTCGTTGGAGCAAAAGGTATATTGCTTTGGTCTAATTTTTTAAATACTATTATGAATCGGTCTGCAGCTTAAGACCATAACACCACACTATACAAAGTTTTAGTTTTTCCAAGTATTTGCTCACAGTTACATAACAAAATATACTGAGTGTGTATGATTTTAAAATTGACAGATTCTTAAGTCGGTCTGTTGTCTCCTTTTGAGAGTTGTGATTGTTAGGGTATCTGGGGAGGTCTGGCCAGTCTGCCGTGATGCGTTTTTAACCTTGTAGCGGCTGGTGAGCGGGTGTACCTTCACATCTAATGATAAGCCGCAGTGCTTGTTCTGAATCTGTATCCCTTATGTTCAGATGGGTGCTATTACCATATTATAAACAGTCCTCTTGCAGCTTGCTCCCTCAACCCAAAATGCAATTGAGCTTGGCCATTTTCATCCTGCATTTAGTAAGGGTCTCGACATT